GAATAGAAGGCAGACAGGGTTGACACCTTGGCAGAGAACTGCAGTGCACGTGGCCCATCCCTGGAGGGTCCTGCCTGGCTGGGAGAGGGGGAGGCGGCATTTGACCTGGCCCTGGCTGATGAACAGGCCTTGGCCAAGGACAGATACTCCAGGTGAAAGGAAGAGGGCAAACGAAGCCCCGGAAAGCTCAGGGAAGGAGGAAAAAACCTCTAACCATGACAAAGTGGCTTCAGGGCACATAAGACTGGTGGCCTCAATGGGTCTGTGGCTCCAGGAGCCAGAGCTCTGATGGCTTCTGTCATCAGCTTTTCCTCACTCACTGAGGGTGCCAACAAATGTCAACAAGGGGGATTGTTTTAGGATGTGGAAATTCATTTACTGGCAGCCAATGCTTGAAAATGTTAATAATTATCAACCTAGGCAAAATCTCCATTGGCAACACAGAGCAGGACATTCTTAACTCTCTAGGCTAGCCAACTCCTCCAGTCACACTGCTAATTCAGCTCCTCGTGTGAAATGCATTGCATTTTTACAAACATTTTGATGTCAGGTTTAGTTCAAGATGTATGTAGAAGTGGAACTAAATGCCTCATAATGTACTGTGATTTCCAAAGAACAGAATTTGCAGCTGTATAAAATGAGTTCTTAGATTTTTTTCTTTAGCTTTATTTTTAAGTGGTAAGTTAACTGTTAGGAAGAAATTTCACTAAATTCTGTGGCCTCGACTCCTGAACACCTCTGCAATTCTTCCCAGCAGAGTGTGGAGGCACTTCAGCTGGCACCGTACCCTAACCAGATGATGGGGCCAACCTCCTTTTACATCTCCACCTCCTAACTTCTCGAATTTACGGTCATATTGCCACAGAGTGCTCTCTTAAAACACCAACATGCATTCTGAGTGGATGGTATTGATCCAAAGGGGAATCTATTATAGGGAAAGGAAAAGGTTTCAAGGTTAGTTAGTAGAAATAAAACAAGCTGGGTTGGTAAATTCAGAAAAGAATGCACACGTTAACTAGACCTCATAAAAGACAGACAAAACGGAGCCAGTTGGTGGAAGGGTAGACGGCTTGTGTGCTCTCATTCCAGGAGTGAGGGGAGTCAAGAATACAGTGGGAGTTTGAGCAAGAAAGGTTAAGCTTTCAAAAAAAGGCTGATATGCCTGCACTGGTTGCCCTGGAGACAGGTCCACCCCCATATAACAGTGATATAATAAAGAGAAAAAAATGCGTGCGAGCAAAGCAGGCAGTAATTAAGGGTGGGGTAACATGGCTTCCAGTTAGACCCACCTGGAGAGGGCTCTAGGGAGAAGTTTGGGAGGGGATGTGTGCCACTGATAAAAGATGGGGGTAGGAGGGAAGAATCCGGAGGCTTCCATGAGCTTATGTTCTGGGTACAGCACACCCTGCTGCTCCAACCTCTACCTCACGGCATGGTTACCTAGAAGGGACTTTGGGCTGCAGAATGTTCCCTCTCCTGGTGGCCCAGGAGTATAGGCTTGGGATTGCTCTCCCTGCCCTTTGCCGCAGCTCAGGAAGGCTGAGGCTGCCCAGACGACACAGTGGGTGGAAAGGGAGTCAGCAGTGATCACCACTGCTGCCTGCTTAAAATTCTCCTGGGACTCCCACCCCCGCAGAATGAAGCCCAAACTCTTCATCAGAGGCCCCAAGATCCTAAATGATCTGATTCCTGCCTCCTCCAGGCTTGTCCACCTGCCTTACAGACAAGGTGATCCCCAAGGGCATGACCAGGTCCCACCTCTCCTACCTCCACCCTCCATCCTCACTCTTCTCCAGCCGGCTCATCCCTCAGGGCTCCACATGGTCCTGACCTTCACCGGGAACATGGCTTGGGGAACTCCTAGGGGTCCCTGAGACTCTTTCAGAGGGTCCATGAGGTCAGAACTATTTTCATAATAACACTAATGTTTGCCTTTTATACTCTTATTCTGTCATGAATGTATAGAACATGAGAAGTTTCTTGACATGGTTTTAGATTCCACATTGCAACTAACGTTCAAGAAATTGTCAAGTTTTGGTGTCATATCAAAGAAGAATATCCATAATTATATGAAAAGGCTATTAACATTCTCTTCCTTTTTCCGACTACATATCTGTGTGGGACCATATTTTCTTCAAGTAGTCCAACCAAAACAACATATCACGACAGATTGAATGGATGAGAAAGGAGAATCCAGCTGTCTTCGATAAAGCCAGACATTAAACAGATTGCAAAAATGTAAAACAGTGCCATTCTTCTCACTAATTTTTTTAATTTAGAAAATATAGGTTTTTATACAAATATTTTATTTATGTCATGGTTATGTTATGGGTTTATTATTGTCATTTTTAAATTAATGAATAAATAAATATTTTTTAAAGTTCTCCATTTCCATATCTGATCCAGTAAATCTCAATAGATCTAACCCACGTGAACAAAGCTCTCTGGGATCCTTGATAGTTTTTAAGTGTAAAAGGGTCCTGAGACCGAAAAGTTTGAGAAGCACTGCCTTACACTGAACCTCCAGCAGGCAAGTGGAGCTGTGCCTGGCTATGCCTCTGCTGTTGCACTCTGATTCCACCGAATTAATGATTTTTGTACATGTCTGTGTCCTCCACTACGTGTGCGCTTCCTGATGGCGGCTGCTCACCTTAAGCCCTCCATTCTGGCACAGAGCAGAAGTTCCAGATGAATGAATGAGGTAAGAGATAAGCCCCCCGTGGACACACATCACAGGCTGCCACCTGAGCAGCCTACGATCATTCACAGGAGGGGTGGATAAATACATGCACTATAGTTTTTAATTGGCTCAAAGTGTTACTGGGGCTCTGACTTGAGTTTAGACATAAAATATAAACAATTTTTTAATCAGAAAATTCAAACAAAAAAATAATCTAAGAAACAATTATGTTTCTATTCTATTAAACTTTCAGAAACACCCTTGTAAGTAGCTAGTGAAATACATCATGTTGGTAGATATGATAAATACAGCCAAAATGATTTGCCACAGAAAAGTGAAATGTGGCCTGGGCAACGTTCCAAACATAGAAAACAAAAGGCCAAGAAAAGCAAATACCCATAAAACACAAGACACTATATTCTAAGAATGAAGAGAAGGTCATATGATCAGGGCAAGGGCTACAATGAACATGGCATCTCCATATTTATTTCCCGTCAAAGTAAGATCAAAAGCAGATTGTACTGGAGAATCCAGGCCAGAGTCGTGGTGTTTGCCTTCCGGTTTTATGATTCTCACTTACTCAACCACGTTCATAAGTCAAGCAGACCTGTACTATGTCCAGGAGAACTTGCCACTCCCTGGGGTGGGGAGATGTGCCATGTTCCATCCTCCTCTTTGTCCCTGACACATTCTCCCAACAGAAGGAGAAACAGGAGGCAATACTGGATGCTGGGTTAATGTCTGGCAAAACAAGCTTCTGTCTCTTACCTCAGAAGACAAGGGGTTTCTACTTCAGAGCCTGAGCTTAGGGCGAAGGAGGAGGGCAGGGAGGCCCTGGGGTGTGAGTGAGTGTGTGTGTGAGAGAAAGAGTGTGAGATGGAGATAAAAGAAGAAAAATGCTTTCTGGTTAAGTGTGTGGTGGCTCATTCCGAAGGCAGGCCCTTCAGAAACCCAACTGTGCAATCACTGCTGGTGATCTAGGACTCAGGCGTTTCCAGTTCTCCCTCTTGCACGCGCTCTCTCTCTCTCTCTTTCTCTCTCTGTCTCTGTCTCTGTCTCTGTCTCTGTCTCTCTCTCTCTCTCTCTATATATATATATGTTTATCATCTTGAAATTTGTTTTTAAAAATCTTGTAATCAGCGTACTACACATTCCCTGGTCCTTTCCACATTTGCAGAAGACTTAGGCGTATGTCACTATGGAAACAGAGCTTCTCAGGAGACTAAAGACACAGAAGACCCAGTATTGTGGGGTCACTGTTTAGTTAACATCAGTAAAGATTCTGAACTCTCAAAACAGGGCTCTTTGGGTCCCTTTGGTCTCTGATTGTATTTTCAGCTGCTGAGGCTACCAGGCCACTGGGCAGTTCTTTCAGTGGCCTTCAGAGGGGGTCAGATTCTAGCAGTTGGCCAATAAGATATAAACGTAACACAATTTCAGAAAGCAACTTCATTGAAGTATAGTTGTGGTAAAGCTATTATTCATTGCACATCTACAATTTACATATATTACCTCATTTTCTCCTCACTAAAATTTCCAACGTCAGCATTAATATTCCCATTTTATGGATGAGGAAATTGAACCTCAGAGTGTTTACGTTGCCTGAGTATACACATCTGATAAGTACCAGAGCCAAGACTTGAACCCAGGTCTATGTCAAAACCCATTCTCTTTCCACTGGCCAACCTTCCTAATATCCCAACATCTTAACCTTAACAAAGCCCATATTATCCATATTCTGTGGGTTTTCATGACCTTTCCTTTCTCTTGAAGAAATAAAAACAATTTACCTGAAGAAAACATGTTCACTGGGTCAGAAATAACAGACTCCTGACATTCTCATTCCTAGTATCTTAATTCAGCTCATAATGTCCCCACTTCTCTTCTGTGCCTGTCCCCGCCTTTCACAAACATGCTTGCTCTTTTTTCCATGCTGTCACGCAGGGAAGCATTATTAACACTGATTAGCTGGACAAATCCCATAAGAAAATTCTCATAACACCCTTGTCCAGATAAGTCCAACAAGGACCCTTTGGATGAAAAATCTTGCCCTTGTATACTGGAAAAAAGTCATGAGCCTCAGATTAAACAGAAGGCTTTGAAACAGAAGAGGTTTAATTTCATTTTGAAAACTCATGTACAAGCACATCCTCAACTCGGGATGCACTCACAGCCCGTGAGATCCCCTCTTCCCCAGCACACCTAACAGATGCCCCAGCGACAGAAGAGCTTCCCAGTCTCACATTCATTCCCTGGCCTGGAGATCCACCCTCATCCACCCCTTCCTGCCTGCTTCTGTAGGTGGAGCCCCATCACTCACCCAGGAGGGCTGTCTGGGGGTGGGTCCGACTGTGTCTCCCTCTGGAGATGGACCTCGAGGGAGGCCGATCCCTGGCCTCGGTGGGAAGGAGGAGGATCTGTCCAAGAATCAGCAGAAAGCAGCCCACCAGCATCTTTTCCATCTTCAAGAAGAGGATGAGGGGCTAGGCTGTGACAAAACACAAGAGAAGCGGCAGGGTGAGATTTCCAGGTCTCCTTGAACTCTAGGAGCCGCAGGCCCTCACTCCACCTTTTCACCTTTCAGCCATGCTGCTTATACTTAAAATGCCTTTTGTGTGTTTGACCCTTCAGAACTTAAGTAACCCCCACTGGTAGGTTCTTTGATACTCTGAGCAGGGCACGCATAGTTGGAATTTTTGTCACTTTGGTCACTATAAGACTGAATGGAAAACTTGAGGGGAAAAAAATCTATCCTGAAGTTTCTTCTTAATTAAGTTTATCATCAATTATTCATGGTCACATTGTATATCTTGGATTTGAAAAAGGAAAAATTATATTTAAGGATTCCAAGTAACAATATTCCTTCAGTCTAATAATAGAGGATGGCACAAATTAATATCTACAAATTTCCCAAGGAATTCATGTGTAGCTAACAGAAGGTAGCATTACATAGCCAGCCTCCCAGCCTCCCACCTCCCAGACCCCGTCTCCCACACACATCTATTAAGAGGGCGCATGGTGCACTGGTTCAGGGCTTCGACTCTGGCACCACTTTGCAAGGCTTTAAATCCTGGCTCTGACACTTGCTAACTGTATGTGACCTTGGACAAGCTACTCAACCTCCCAGAGCCTTATGGGAATATGGGATAATATTAGTTAATTGAGTGAGTTAATACATGTAACTAAAGCATTCAGAATAGTGCCTGGCACACATGGGGAGGTAGAGACAAGAAAACAAGCAAAAGAGCTAGGGGACCAGAGAAGAATGAGATCAGACCTGATGGTAAGCAAGCAGCTCTCAGATCTGTAAAGAATTCTAACCCTGAGTTGGGTTTGCAGTATCCGCAGAGGCAAGGGGAATTTCAACCAGAGCAGCACTGCCTTACCCAGAATAGTGCTGCCTTTACCCATTTTCTGTCTCAGGCCTGGAGTGTAGCTGGTTTGAAGGCTTGGGAGGATGGATTCTAAGCAGGAAAGCGACATGAGTAGATCCAAGTTTTTTTCCCAGGATGGCTAATCTCAGGGCTTCACATGGGATGAGAAACGTACGTGGCCACATGGTGAATGAGGTGAAGACTCTTCTGCCTGGCAAAATCTTCCAGAGAAGGTAATATCCTGGGACTGGGCTTAAATTTATTCTTCCATTTTCTATGACGATAATGAGTGGCATAGCAATTTAAATTAGGTGGGGAGGAGGAAATATTTAAGGAGGAATAATATTTAAGTAACATCATTTGCATGTAAAATCTCTACTAAATCCTTATCTTGTGTTTGGCAATTTCACTCAGCTGACTTCATTTAATCCTCATAACTATCTTGCAGAAAGCAGAATTTTTATGTCTGCTTTTTAGAGATGAGGAAACTGAGGCTCCAAGAATTTCAGTAACTTGACCAAGGTCACACAGCTAAAGTAAGTGGCAAAGTAGGGATTCAAACCCAGGGTAAGCAGGCCAATTTGCCAATTCATTGACTAGCAGAAACTCAATTAGCTGCAAGTCAAATTCCCAGAAGTCAGTTCATGAAAGTGCTTAGCTGTTTCACTGTCAGAGGCAGAAACAGGGCAGGACTTGAGCAGGCTCCATTTCCCAAAACCTAAAAAAACAACCTTCAATAATTCAGTGAACTGTTTGTTCAGCAAATTGCTTTCAGGAATTGACCTGGAGAGGAACCCATGTTGACCTTCAAAGTCCACAGTTTTTCACACTTGCTGTAGTGAGCTAGCTCACTTTTCACCATGCATTAAAATTATTAAAAATTTGTTGTTGTTAGTGCCGTAAAATCAATTCCAACTCCCAGTGCCCCGTGCACAGCAGAGCGGAACCCTGCCCGGTCTGTTTGCGCCATCCTCTCCCCTTCTGGCGCTATATCAGACAGTGTTCCGCTGCTATTCCGAGGGTTTTCATGCCAATTCTTTCAGAAGTGGGTGGCCAGGTTCTCCTTCCTAGTCTGTCTTAGTCTAGAAGCTCTGCTGAAACCTTTCCGTCATAGGTGACCCTGCTGGTATTTGAAATACTGGTGGCATAGCTGTCAGCAACACGCAGCCACCACAGAGTGACAACTGACAGATGGGTGGTGTGACCTGGGCCACTGCAATGAGCGTGATGAATCTTAACCACTAGACCACCAGGGCTGGCATATTAAAAACAGGGAATGTTTATTCAGCACTTACTATGTGCCAGGCACTGGGCCAAGAGTTTTAAATGTATTAAGTCAATTAGTTCTCACAGTAATCACAGCAAAGTTAAGCAACTTGCCCAAGGTTATGCCCCTGATAAGGGGTGAGGCTCCAGAGCATATTGGCTCATTACAGATAACGACTGCCCCCTCTTTAAACAAATTAAACTCTTTACTAATTGGACTGGTCTCTTTCCATGGCTTTAGCTGTGAGATTCCTTCTGAGAAAAGTAAGAAACTTAGAAGATTTTGCCTCTTCCTCTGAACTTAAACCTACTATTTACTTTCAAGTTTCCTTGGTATTTATCACATTTTATATGACATTATAAGTGCATTACATCATTTATATGTGTTTATTATTTTAATGCTGTTCTCCTTTCTCCAAACTCAGCAAACACAAAATCCACATTTATTTATTTCAAAATATATACAATATTCTCTCAAGATCCACTTCCACCCTGACACATTTGCACTTAAATCCAAACACTTGAAACATGATGTGGTGGATAATTATCATTTCCCAAAAACAAACACCATTTCATGTGGTTTGGGTTTACCGTGAATTTCAAGAAGCGTTTGTGTCTTCAAGTCACCACTGCTAACCAAAAGGCACTGAGGATAGGTGAAGGGTAGGGAGTTAAAAATAAACAGAACTAATACGTCTAGCTGTCTAACCCTGAGCAGGTTACTTAACCTCTCTCTACCTCAGTTTCCACATCTTTAAACTGACGATACTAAATAGACCTGGTAGTTGTATGGATTAAATCAGTTCCTATATATAAAGCACATGGGGAAAAATAAATAAATAATAAAGCACATAGAGCATTGCCTGGCCCATAGTAAGTACTCAATAAGCATTAGCTACTTGTTCTTCTGCTTATTATTATTATCATTCTGCAAACAAACCAATTCATAAAGTACACGTTGTTAATTTTTGTCATACCAAGCTACTTAACGTACATTGAATTCACTTTTATGCTTCCTTATGACTATTATAATAAAGCAATGACATACAAATTCATAATTTGAAAATACATGTTAGTATCTGAAAGTGTTTAAAACTTTTCTTTTTTAAAATGCAATGGCACAGCAAGTCACAGGCTAGTAGAAAATATTTGCAAAACATATATCTGCTATATTATTTCTATCCAGACTGTATAAACTTTTGTAACTCAATAAGAAGACAAACAACCCACCTGAAAATGTGCAAAAGATTTGAAGAGTCACATCACCAAAGAAGATATTCAGATTACAAATGAACATATGAAGAGATGTTCAACTTTCTTAGTCATTGGAAGAATACAAATTAAAACCACAATGAGATTCCACGACAAATCCACTAGAATAGTTAAAATTAAAAAGACTGATATAGGGGCCAGCCCCATCACCAAGTGGTTAAGTTTCTGCACTCTGCTTCAGTGGCCCAGGGTTCACTTGTTTGGATCCTGGGAGTGGACCTACACACCACTCATCAAGAATGCTATGGAAGCATCTTCTATGGCAACATAGAAGAACTAGAATGACCTATAACCAGGATATACAACTATGTGCTGGGGCTTTGGGGAGGAAAAAAAAGAAGAGGAAGATTGGCAACAGATGTTAGCTCAGGGCCAAGCTTCCTCACCAAAAAAAAAAAAAAAGATTGATATAATCAAATATTGGTGAAGATGTGAAGAAACTGAGACTCTAATAAATTGCTGGTAAGAATGCAAAATGAATAATCCTAAAACTCATATGGAGCAACCAAAGACCCAAAATTGCTAAGGCAATCCTGAGAAAAAAGAACAAAGCTGGAGGCATCACAATCCCTGACTTCAAAATGTACTACAAAGCCATAGTAATTAAAACAGTATGGTACGGGTACAAAAACAGGCACATGGATCAATGGAACAGAACTGAAGGCCCAGAAATAAAACCACACATCTACGGAAAGCTAATCTTAGACAAAGGTGCCAAGAACATACAATGGAGAAAAGATAGTCTCTTCAATAAATGGTGTTGGGAAAACTGGACAGCCACATGCAAAAGAATGAAAGTAAACCATTATTTCATGCCATACATACAAATAAACTCAAAATGGATCAAAGATTTGAAGATAAGTCCTGAAACCATAAAACTCCTGGAAGATAATATAGGTAGTACACTCTTTGATATCGAACTTAAAAGGATCTTTCTGAATACCATATCTCTCAGACAAGGGAAACAAAAGAAAAAATAAACAAGTGGGACTTCATCAGACTAAAGTGCTTCTGCAAGGCAAAAGAAACTAGGATCAAAACAAAAAGACAAACATATACCATTGGGAGAGTGACATCAGCAACATGGTGGAATGAGTGGTTTTCTTTGTCTCTACCCCTCTGAACTACAACTAAATGGACATTCATTGATAAACGGAGGATACTCACACAGCACCTCAGGACACCTGAGAGACCCACCCTGCTATACTTCGGAAGGTGGATGGACTACCCCCAGGGAGGAGGTGGAGATAGGTGAGAAATCTCCAGCTCCAAGGCAGCCTAGTACCTGCGAGCAACTCTCTCCCAGCTGAAGCACCCACAGCACCGCCGCAGCCCCGAGGATGGGCATGTGCATCAGCACAACTGTGGAAACAGGCGACTACAGCCCTAAGCTCCCCATGATTGCTCTTTGAACCAGTGGGAAAATTCACAGTCCCACTGTGGCCCCAGGGAGTGACTTGGGCTCAGACTCGGTAGGGAGGCCGGGCCCACCAAGCACAAAGGCTGGGCGACCTAGGAGCAGATGCAGTGCAGCTGGGCGAGCTAACTGCTGGCTGAATTAAATGCCCATAGCTCT